GGAACCCACGAGATGCCAAACTGTACAGCAATCGAGCTGCCTGCTATACCAAGCTCCTGGAATTCCAACTGGCGCTCAAGGTGAGGAGCTGGGGAGGATGGCGCTGCTGTGACTATAAGCTATGAGGACAAGGACAAGGGTGTTATTTCCCCTTTCTTATTTTCACTTGAAGGTGGATGATCTTTCCTTGATTCCAGATTATATTCAATGAGGTGCTGCTTTTGTGTGTAAAGTATAGCACCTGTGTGTTCCTGGCCTGCCCTTTGGGGTTAGAGGTTGAACGTGTGTGGGAAAGTAGTGACACATATGTCCCCACATGTGTCAGGGTTTCTTCATTGAGGACTGTTTCTTTTTCTCCCCATTTATCTTTGGGGTTTGTTTGTTACCAGATGGACTTGAACCAAGGAGTGCTCTACCGCTCAGCTATATTTTAAGCTCTTTTATTTTTATTATGAGACTTTGTCTTGCCAAGTGCACAGTTGACCTCAACTTTGACAGTCTCCTGCCTCAGCCTCCTAGAGTGCTGCTTTTTTAGCCATCTTATGTGTACACCAGCGGCATTAATTTCATTTACATCTCCCTAAACTGAAGTGTACTGTGATGGTGATCACTGTTTCTGTTCTGTGAGTCACATTGCTATAGGTACTTCAAGCACAGCCATTCAAATGTTTGTACTTTTGGAATTAACTGACTTGAGTTTTATGTAATGTCTTCAGTATTCACATATGTCCCCACATGTGTCAGGGTTTCTTTAAGCTGAGCAGTATTCCGTTATATGCATGTGACATGTTTTGTTGGTTCATTCGTCTGTGAACATAGGTTTGTTTCCACCTTTCAGCTGTTGTGAATAATGCTTCTATAGGGTCGGCGAAATAGCTCAGTGGTCTAAAGTGCCTGCTTAGGCAAGTGCAGGGACCATGGTTCAATCCCCAGCGCCACATGGACAGGCTGAACTGGCCACCAAAAAAATAAAAAATAAATAATGCTTCTATAATAAATATGGGTGTAGAAATAAATAATGGGTTTTTTGTTGTTGTTTGCCCACACACACACACACAAACCAGGGATTGAACTCAGGCCCTTGTGCTTGCCAGGCAAGCGCTTATTCTACTGAGCTATCTCCCCAACCCTAGAAATAATGTTAATGCCCCTATTTTGATTCTTTGGAGAATATGCACAAAAGCAGAATTGCTGTATCAAGGGCCGGCCAAATAGCTCAGCAGAAGGGCTAGGGGTTCTATCCCCGGGCCGATTGTGCCGGCAGTTGAGACTGGGCATGGTGATGCATGCTTGTAATCCCACTTCTTGGGAGGCCATAAATAGGCTGAACACTACAAGTCTGATCTAGTAGTGAGACTCTGAACACCCTGTAGACCCTTCCCTAAAAAATACAAAAATACAAAAAAAAAAAAAGTTATATCAAAAGGTGTTCATATGGCCAGGGAGATGGCTCAGTGGAATAAGCGCTTCTCTGGCAAGTGCAAGGGCCTGAGTTCAATCCCCGGTTCTGCAAAAAAAAAAAAGATGTTCATATTTTGTTGAACTGTATATATTATTAGAATGTCTACACAATGCTTCCTTTTTATTTTTGATATGTAGTTCAGTGGTTCAGTTACAGGCAAGTCAACTGATCTCAGTCATGCACAGTATGGTCAGGTGTAACTGGCTGAAGATTTAGTCCTCATCTTTCTCAATGTGGTCGACTGTGTAGCTCTCAGTGTGTTCACCATTCTATAGTAAACTTGACTGGACTATACTGTGAGCAGTTGGCAGAATCTGATAGATCTAGAGCTGCTAAGTCCTGGGCCCATGTTGATATTTGT